CGAACGATGAATGAACGGCAGTGAAGTTTAGACTTGGGACACTTGGCTGCTTGAAGTTCTCAGATCAATACAGGCACATGTTAACTGTTGGTCATACTCATCGATGCAAGTAAATCTGCTACCACAAAAAAGCGTTTTCAATGCAATCCAAGACGTATGCGGCCAGCGAAAAATTCGAATAAGAGAAAAGTTTTGAAGCTCTATTCTCTTTCTGAACCTGTTTACAAAATAAACCAGGAGTTAGTTTCTGACTTCTTCAGACCGGCGATCTTCAGCATTTATCTCGTGGATAATTTGCAGTGCTACAAGAATAGCTTCACGAAATTTCAAAATCATACATCGGTACTACGGAAACATCTGCCTTCAAGATGATGATCATCGCTAGTATTTTTAAAGTCTCACCTCAACAGATTTCAAACGGCTTACAGAAATCTGTTCATGCTATCCGAATGCGTTGGTCCAACCTCAAACAAATTCACTGTCTTTAAATAACAATGATCGAATGTACTTCTACTGGTCGACCTACTGCGGTCGCATCGGGAAATGTCACAAGCTTCGCAAGTTCCGCCATTTCAGGGTTATCCGGCCTCATAGACAGAGACGCGCCATACGCGCCTTAAAAGAGCGCGAGTAGTCAATCAACGATCTCTTAACAGCATGATATTATTCATATTTTCGATGTCCCTTAGAAGCACTGTTTGACAATTTTAGATATACTACTGAGTGATGTGATCAGTTTGTTGTTCTCCTGCATCACATAATCCACAACGATGCTGAATAACAGAAAAGCAAAAACTTCACCATAATGAACTTCATTTTTTGCGTTGAAACAGTCAGACAATGATGCCTTGGTTTTGGCAGCACAGATATTTCATGAGTTTTAACAACGTTTCTGAAATTCACCATGAGGAACTACGTCACGCTGACTGGCGATGAACAGAATCGAAGATTGCTTGAAAAAATGCAGTCAAATCAAATTCCAAAAAATTGAAAATTGCACAGTTCCCACGCTGTAGAAGGTCCCAAGATGCATAACCACCTGTTTTAACTTGGAGATGATGTAACTGCATTAGTATTTCATCGTAAACGGCTGCTTCGTTGCCTCAAAACGAATAGAACGTTCCAAGGCATAAGCTCTCATTTCTGCTGACTCAAAGTAGATCAATAACCGTCACAAAAGAAGTAATACACTAGTGAAAACGTACTTTCGGGTCATCCGGAGGATCATACTGAACAATCCAATCAACGGCAGGTATATCGAGACCACGGGCAGCGACGTCAGTACACAACAAAATTCCTTCTTTCGCCTCGAAGAAGCTAAAGAAGGTAGTCGTGCGCTTTTGCTGTTTCTGTTTTCCCTGAAAACAAACCGCGTACCGTAGAAACAAGAGTCCATCCGCTTTGCAACACATACATGAATGCAGATGACTGGAAGGTCGATGTAATTAAAAAGTTCGTGATGGAACTTGACTGAACTACAAGACGAGAAAAACACCATCATCTTCTTCTTACGATTCCTCTTCAAAAACGTGTACAGCATCATAAACCGTTTTTCTGATGGACATACCACGTAACCCTTTAAAGAACCGGTATAATAAAATTCGAAACTACGTAACATTCAAAAGGATCAAAATTCTAATTCTATCAAGCTTATACGGAATACCCTTATTTACTTATAATAATACTGAAATGACCAACTTTCAATGCACAGAATTTATCAGTGATCACTTCTACATGCTGATCTTGGGCTATTTTAACAATAACTACTTCATATGCATTATCATTGTCTCTATGCTTTTCTGTCTGTCTGTTTGTAAAAGGCAAACACTGTGAGTCGCGGAAACACCCCTGAAATGGTCCCTTTCCTACACCATGAAACGGGCAGCAAATTCGGTCCATTATCTGATCCAAGCGTTTGCGGCAACAATGCCATCGATTAAAGTGACTCGTAAATTTATTTAACACAAAGTTCAAACCGTAATTAAATTATAAAGACGAAATTAAAATGAAATTTCTAGCTAGAGTTATATGACAGTTAGCAGTTAAAATACTGACCTGACGAAGACCTTCTACAGTGGCTGTTTCGCTCGTGTCCCCAACTCCGATGTAAAGCGGCTCTTTTTGTAATGCCATTTTTACAAGATCGTTTACCTTTTGATCCTGGGTGGCCGAAAACAACATCGTCTGCCGGTGCCCTAGCAAAAATAATTTATTAAGCGCAGATATTATTCCAAAATCATACTTGGCAAGAGTCTAATGATTTGCTGCATTTCCAATTCAAAACCAATATCCATTATACGATCCGCCTCATCGATGATCAGACAATGCAAATTTTTGTACAGGAAGTCATGCGTGTTCTAAAAGCTGCGAAATAAATAATAAAGCACATCAACATTAATAACGAAGTATCAACGGCATGCCTGCATATGGTCCAAAAGACGACCGGGCGTAGCTACTAGGATATTAATTCCTTTGGAAAGTTTCTGCGCCTCCGCTTGTCTGTTCGCTCCTCCCATCACAAGGCCATGCGTTAAACTGTGATACTTCAACAATTCGGTGACCACACCGAATGTCTGCATGCTAAGTTCCCTCGTAGGGCTGATAATTATACAGCCGGTTCCTTAAAACAAAAAACAAATAACAGAAAATTAATTTGCATATTAAAGCTTCACCATTGTGTGGGGCAAACTTGAGCTTATACAGTAGTTCCACGGCAGGAATTAAGAATGCCAACGTTTTACCGCTACCAGTTTTTGCGGCTCCAAGAAGATCTCTGAAAATGAAGAACTGATTATGATTTATTGAGTACCTCTGTAGATGCAAAAATAATTAGCGAGTAGTTCGTAAACAAAGCTCCATCTAGGAGGAATCAGCATCGATGACACGGATTACCTCCCGTTTAACAAGTCAGGAAGCGACCGCGCTTGAATTTCGGTCATTTTTGTAAAGCCCATGTCGCTGACGGCGCGAAGAGTCTTTTCGCAAACGAAGTCTTTCAGCACATCGAATGACTGGTCACTCAAAATGCCAATACCAAGAGGAACAGTGGCCGATGTTCCTGGAATGAAGCAAATTAGCACGATCGCCACAGATTACTAATTAATAAGGAACAAGGAACACGCAGACCTGTTCGCAGAGGGAAACTATTCCTTTTATGATGCAATAACCGGTGCTTTATAATAAACGCATTGTACAGCTGCGAATACAACGAACATCACAAACCAGAGATGCTGCGATCATGCAAACGTTCCAGGTGATGATCAAACACACACACATGAATTACTATATTCGAAGACCACGAAACGTTTCAATACGATGTACCTGAATTCTTCTGTGTTTCTGTTGGAGTATTTTCTTCCCCTCGGTTCTTCTCTGTTTCACTCCGTTTATCACTCTTTTCCTTAGAACGAGAGCTTGAAGGTGTGCTAATTTCCAGCATCATTTTGGCGTCGTTTGAGTCCTTTAGTTCAGCACTTTCACTGGCGATCTGGTTCTGTAAGAAAGGCTTGTCGCGTTCCAGGTCATCTTTACTAACGACAGGTTCGCCAGCTAATTCTACAGAAAGAATGAATAGTATAACATTAAAAAGCAAACTGATTTAAAAAATTTGCAACGTTTTCACTTATCATGAAAGCATATAAATGAGAATGAAGTAAATAAACTACAAACTTATCATATGACACAATGCTTTCAAGACAGGATTTCAAGGTGCGCTCCATCACCTCCTGCCTGGGGTACAATCTAAGTTAGATGAAGTTTCTTGGTTCTCAAATAACATGGAGACGAGTCTGCTCTACGGGTCTCCCTTGTCAGTTACATGCCAATTAACGTCTTTCTCATAGAGCGTAAACCCTGATAAAAACTTATCTCTATTTTTCATAATATTTTGGTCAGTATTTACTCCATCGACGATGCTAGTGATCCAAAGGTCAGGGTATATTGAATCATTAGTCATATAAGCAAAAGAGATAAGGCGAAAACATTTTGACTTAGCTTCTCAAATGGGATATTGCAAAGATTTACGATATCTCCGAGTTTCTTCTTGCCATTTGTCAAAGAAGTAGGTTATTAGAAATAGAAAGGTTATACCTATCACACGAAATACTTACAGGAACAGTCAAACATAAACGATAATAAAAATTAGGCAAATAGAGAAATTAAAGTACCTCGAGCGAGTGCGATAATGGGGGAGTCAAACCAGTCTGTGTTGACAAAAAAATGCAGGTGAACAGCGATAAAAAACAATTTTAATTCGGCATAAGCATTTCTTCGCACACTGATAATCAGTAATAGACACTAATCGAAAGAATGTGATTTCGGATAAAAGCGGCAGAAGGGAGAGAGACTGCACAAAGCACAAAGCATCACAGCTCAAGATACTCTCAGATCTTAGCCGCTCCTTCTCCAGGTATAGAGCTGATAACTGTGATGGTCTGAATAAGTGATCAGGACGCCACAAAAGAGTCACAAGCCAGAGGCAAAGCGAAAGATAGGAGTTCAGTTGACGACTTTATCGAACATGTTACTGCCCCTCCCGGAATCCAGCCCGTTTACAGAGTTTGGCTGATATGCAAAATACCTATGTCACCTGAATAACTTTCTCGGTAGGGCGTCGAACTCAGAAGTGATATCCTAATTTCAAGCTACGGTTGGGATCAGTCGCTTCTTATCTTTCTGAGGTTAATAAATGAGTACCACTCTGTGGGAAGGAAACAGATGACTACACGCCACGCTTGCCACATGCTGTAGAATCTGCCTCAAAAAATAAGACACGACGTAAAAACGAGATCAGCAACGCACCATCGACTTCAGGGAAAGAAGGGCGTCAAAAGAGCCCAATCGTATAAGTGAAGTATAGGTGACAAACTTTGCTTTTCCCATTTTTACCTTACATAGTAGATCACATACCGCTTTAATTAGTAAATTCAACAATAATTTCCCACCGGTTGATGACAATCAACACGTTGTATCATCTTATCATTGTATGTTCTCTGCAAATACCACAGTTTTTTGTTTTCAAAATTTTCTCAAAAATGGCGCGTGGGCCAAATTAAAACCGTGTTAAAACATGGCCATTCGAAAGTGGGATGCCCTTGAAGGTGAGGAAAAAAACTATTCGACTGAACCGACCTATTCGCCATGATCTACATGACGAATGTTGGTCTACAATTAAAGCCGAGGAGGAAAAACTGATCGCCACAGAAACAGTGATGATGAGAAGAATGTGCCAGGTCTCTCTCCGGAATCACGTTCCCAGTACACAAATTTGACAAAGGACTGGATTAACAGCTGTGATTTCTGTCTTAACAACGGAATGATGGAAGATGAGTCGATCACATGACTCGCCTGAGAAACGTCAGAGGACGTCAAGAATTACAAATTACTGGATTCCAGTGGAACAATACCGCAGAGGTATTCCAAAAACACGTTGGGAATATTCGACATGTTCCCAACGAATATTGGAAAACATTGAAAATACCAATAACGCATTGGTATTCCAATGTCCCAACACGTTGGGACGATTCGGTGGTCTAATCGTTTGGCCAGTGGTGAAGGCAGAAATCTAGGAAAAAATTCTACAGTGTCGACTTGGTTCATAGCACACCCATGAAGAAGACAAATCGGTCGGTTAACAGGTTCTGTTTATGTCTGGTTAAGAATCTGCACGACGGGAAATATGCCCCACAAAAGTGTAATTACACCATATAAATAAAGCTGGATCTACTACACAATATGCGAAATAAAACTATTTAAATAAATCCATTTAATTCTACGTTTCAAATACAAAAGAAAAACACAAAACGAGCTTACTTTCCGCAGAAATCCGTTTCGCCTTTTTAAGCTTCTTCAGCTTTCTTTTCAGGTTTAACTCCGGAATTGATCCCATTGAGCTAAAACACCGAAACAGATATACTGAAATTCATTACCGATTTAATGCCAATATGTAAAGTAAGAATCCTTTAAAGGTACGAAGTCGAAGGGAATAAATATACTTATGCAGATGTTCATAAAGATCGCCAGTGTTCATTACTAGGGCATGAAATGTCCGGACAGGATACCACAATAATAGACCAGCATGGCACCACCATCGCCAAAAGCCACAGACAGTTCTTTGTACAAGATTCTAAAACTGATCACACACCTTTCGCAAGCTGGTCGAGCAACCACGCAAGACATTCTTCAAGGAATGGTAGGCGATTGGCTACGCTGGTTTCCACCAGCAACACAAGACAACGAAATGTCGACAGAGGCTTATTACCTTGAACAACCTGTAACACTGTATTAACTTAAACTTTTTCCTG